TTTGATTTTACTGACTGTTTAATTGGTTCCCTTTCCTTATTTTCACAAACCGTGTACCACTGGACTTCTTTTTCCTTAAATAAACTCCTATGTATTTACCCTCTTTGTGTTACTTTGGAAAAGATTTCAGTCAAATTCTTTCCTTAACTGTCTTCTACCCGTTTGAAATTAGAATCCCTTAACTAAAGGGAGACTTTATGTGATTGATTGTAAAACTATTTTCTTACCTTTTCTTACTTGCCTTCTGCACTATAAAAGGGGACTACCCTTCTGCACTTTCAAGGACACACGATTGAATACTCTTTAAGACAACTTCGAATTCAATACTTTTACACACCTTCAGCTTACACTACTCATCTCACACTCTCAATTTCAATACTTTCACATTCTCATCTGAGTTTCTTCTGGCTGTTTGCTTGCAATTTGGGCTTTACTACTACTTTTTCTCTGCTTACTTCTGAAACTGGTATGTCCTAATTTAGTTTCAACCATCACACCAATGTGTTTATTTACAGCTTCTGCAATCCTGTTTACTTTACTATCCATGCTCATTGATTAATCTATATATTATTCTCTTTGCACCTATTTTCTGCTGTGAATCCCTATACCGCTATTCCCTCAATGTGTTTGAGTTAAGGCTCAGGCATGGCAGTATCTAAATTGCTGCTCATGTTTGGACCCGATCCTTAGTGGATCCTAACTCCCAAACAAATATGGCTAACAGGCTGGTCAGGGGTGTGCCAAAAACTCCTAATTGATGAGTATGACCACCAGCCTGCCATGGCCTTCCCAGAATCCCCTCTATTGCACTTACACTCATTCCTAGTTTCTAAGTTCTGCCCCCCTCCTATGAGCCTTGCTTTGGGACCTTGAGTTCCCTCTGAACTTGGACATCTGAGGGCTGGCCCTTCCACACTGCACTTTAATTCAATTCTGCAATTTATTTGGGTGTAAGAACTGCCCGGAGTTCATGAAGCTCCTGGGAACTCTGACACACCCAAAAATGAGAAAGGCTTTGGAAATCAGATCTTTGGAGTTGGTTTATTTCATGTTTCAGACTTGGAGTCTAAATTAGGCTCTCCTTGGTTGTACTTTAATTTCTGATGTAATTTTACTTTCCTTTATTCATTCTGGGTTGTAATAATTTGTGGGGGTATATAGTTAAAAGGGGAGGGTCACTCATGTATGCATGTGGGTAGACATCATGTTCTTAGGAGCTTATTCCTGCTTTTCATCTATGCATATCATATAGAAATCCTGCTTATAGTTCTTCACTTATGCATGTCATATAGAAATCCTGTCTATAGTTCTGCACATATGCATTTCACATAAAAATCCTGCTTATAGTTATGCACTTATGCATGTCATATAGAAATCCTGTCTATAGTTCTGCACTTATGCATTTCATATAGAAATCTTGCTTATAGTTTTGCACTTATGCATATATAGATACCATGCCTTTGAGGTTCTGCACTCATCGAGATACCATGACTATAGGCTTCTGCATTCTTGCATCGTATAGATAACCTGCCTAAGGATCTTTTAAATTCTGCATTTTGTATCTATCGTTTGGTTTAAAGGTTTAAAATAACAAAATCGCATTATAGATACCATGCCTATAGGACTCTCGTGTTTCTATAAACGTTTTAAAATCAATCACGCCTAGAAAGCATGTCTATAAGGGTAATCAACTAAATCTGAATCAAGCCTAAAATCAACAATTTCGATACTCAACATCTGCAGAGTGTATGTTTGCTTTCTTTAAAATCAGTATACTTCGCATTGCTAGATATCATGCTCATAGGTCTCACCTAGGCAAGCCATTAGGTAATTAATTAACTACACCAGTCTTTAATAATTACAACCAGCGGGCAGGCCTAATTTGGACTTCTTATCTGAAAATATGTGATAAATCAGCCACGCCCTAACGTTTAAGTTTAATTAAAGACCTAATCAGGATCTAAAAGACATGCTAAAACTATATCTTCTTTATGTTTTAAGGAGGTTTGTTTGAGCCTTGTCTGTTATGTGCTTCCCCATACTTGTCATGTATGTTTTGAATGTCGCCTTAGACTTTTGTCCTTTTTAAACTCTAAAAGCCAATTTTCCCTCCCCTTTAGGACTAGTAGTCCCTAATACCTCCGGGGCTGATAGGATTGAGACGGGTAATAGCATGTAATAAGTAACGAGACCATTCCGCGATTTAATACCTTAACGGGGTGGGTAAGGGTAGACATGGATATGATGACCACGCGATAACACCACGTGTATAAATGGTTACCGGGTGTTGTGTGGGGTGATCCGTGTTATTTATAAACCTAGGACCCCCTCACTCTTTACTTGTTTACTTCCTTTTTTCCAGAATTTTAAAGCTGTTTAGTTTTCAGTTTCTTTAACTTCTTCTTTTACTTCAATAACTTGTACTTACTATGCAAAATCTCTCTTTTAATTGTCTGATTTTCAGTACTGTTTCTCCCCAAACTTCTGCCTCTTTCACTTTTTTTTTTTCGAATTACTTGCATCAGTTATTTGACCCCTTCTCCTTTATTTGTGTATCTTTCTTTAATTATAAAACTACCTTCTTCCAAATTTCAGCACTCTTTAAACCTCTTGTACTTCTTTTATTTGCAACCGTTATGTGAAAGTTACCTAGTATTTACAATGTTTGCTTGATTACTTGTTGTTTGTATTTAAAGTCACAATTGTAGCATGGCCGGAAACCACACTAGTGGATCTTGAGGGATGCCTAACACCTTTCCCTCGAGATAATTTCAAGCCCTTACCCAACCTCTGGTTTTCTAAATCAAATTCATTTTTAGTGTCCTAATGCACTTAATCATTAGGTGGCGACTCTTCTAAATTGCAAACCCAATTCCCAAAAGAAAAAGAGTTGTCCGCCCAAATGTCATAAACTCGATTTCGCGAGAAAAAGGGGGCATCGACAATGATTAGATGGTGAACCAAGAGTACGAAGTCTACCATCTCTCCTACTTCTAGTAGGAGCAGTAGAAGGAACAAGTTCGTCAACAATCACAACCTTACGGGGGTCAGGTGTAGAAGAAGACATGATTGTCCAAAGGAATATGAAAGGAAGGTTGCAGAAATACAAAGAAGAAGCAATATGGTGGGAAGACTCCAAGAGATCAAAAAGGAATGAAGTATTTTAAGAAGACACGACCATCATTAAAGTTAGTCATTATGAAGCGTCATAATGGAACCGTCACTTCGTGACTGACACACTCGCAGAAAACCTAAAAAGCGCTGAAAAACTGCAGAGCCAATAGTTAGAAGCCACGTGGCATGGGCATTAAGTAGAATGTCACGTCGATTCTGAGGGAGACATGATCACACTGGAAAAACAACAGAATAGAATTCCCGCCATAAAAACTTACCACTTCCCGAATATTCAGTTAAGAATATTCAGAAAGTGGGGGAACTCTCTATATTGGTGGAAAAAAGACATTACACGTAGAATGTTAGTAAACTGACGAAGCATGACGCGTGGAACAATGGAATAGCGATAAGTGGCACTCTCAATTAATAGAATTATGAATACAAGGAAGGTATGGGGGAAACACCCACGAGACTGTACAGAACAGATGATCGGGCCTGACAGTTGTCAAAAAAGAGGCAAGAATGGAATGAATAAAGGTCAAAAAGAGGGGAAGATACACGAACCAAAAGTAAATAAGGAAGGGAAATCATAGCCGTTATAAGGCATTTATAGCTATAAATACGTCGGTTATGGTTACCTATGATAGCCAGCAATTAATGCTCATAATAGATTCGAATTAAGTGTGGAAAACGTTATGATTGTACACTCCTATATAAGGATAAAGAATTTTATTTGTAAGGACAAGTTCCAAGTACTACTGAAAAACATTCTCTAATTCTCTGCTTTATCAAAGTTTTCAACCTTTATTTTAGGACTTGACTATCAATTTATTCCTTATTTCTCTTTGTTAATTCTCTCTATAATTTTTGCCGTTTTCCAAATAGATTGTCGTGGAAGTGAAGTAAAAATTGGTTATCAGTAATCCGTTTTCTTCTAAATATAGGCTTTGACTGAAATTTTATTTTTCGATTAAACAGTCGTCAGTATAATTTAACCTAGTGCAATAGATTCTGTATAGCAATTATTTTTTAAAGTAATCTTTTAGGGTAAATTTGTTTTACATTGTCCACATATAAAAACTTATTTTTATTAGTCTTCTGATATCCAGTACTCACTTGTCCAACTAATAAATTCAGATATTCAATGCATTGAATCCATTAAAAGAAAAATACTCTGTATCATAAATATTCATATCCAGAGTTTGAATCAAAATATCTGATTAAATATGTGAGTTGATATCTGATTCATCACCATGGTGATATTATATTAAAGTTAAACTGCAATCAATTATGTCCTCCATTTTCGGTCGAGACTTGTAGATTGTTTGGTCAAAGCTTTCTGGGGCTAAAATTGCTTTTTTCAGTCTGAAGTAATTTTTCTCCAAAGTTGAGATGTTTGACCAAGTTTATAGAAGAGGGAAAAAATAAGTTTTGAGTAGAAGTAAAAATTGTTTTTGAGAAGCACGAAAAAATAACTTTCTTCCCAAATGTATTTTTTAAGAAAATATTTTTGAGAAAAATATATTTATAAGCACTTTTTAAAAGTATGGCCAAATATTAATTCCTGCGCAAACATACTTTCAGATTAATTAGCCAAACACAAAGTGCTTCTCACGCAAATATTTTTTTTAAAATATTTTCTTAAATAAGATAATTTTAAAAGTTTGGCCGAATTGGTCTTCTTACGTTTAGTGACACCCCAAAAAAAAATATTTATGGCCGAAAGCACTATCACTAGTAGGACCAAGCTATAATGATATATTAGGCCATTCAACAAAAATTTCAACAACGCGGGCCCTTCAAGTCTTTCAAAAACAGTAGATTCTCCAATTTTAATCAACTACACATTGCCCCCCTACTCCGCTATAAATTGACACACACCACTTCACTAGCTCTTCACCTTCACTTCTCTTTTCTCTCTTCTCAAATTTATCTACCATTTTGCAAGATGAAGAAGGGTAGTAATTCTTTTGCTGCAATATTCTTGGTTGTGACGCTAGTCCTTTTTCTTGGCAAATTTCGGGCGATAGAGGCAGTAACGTGCAGTGTCATGGAGCTGAGTCCGTGTGCCGGGGCGATCACATCGTCGCAGCCACCCTCTTCGGCATGTTGCGCTAAGTTGAAAGAGCAGAAGCCTTGTCTTTGTGGGTACCTCAAAGATCCAAACCTAAGGCCTTATGTCAATTCTCCTAATGCCAAGAGAGTTGCTAAATCCTGCGGAGTACCCACTCCCAGCTGTTAGAATCTTAACAAAAAAAAATCACATCGTAAAATTATCTGTATCACCATATTATGTAAGCAATGCTAAATAAAATTGCCTCCTTTTTTTTTTCCCTTAGATGAATCTTGCTCTTATACCGACTAGACTGGGATGATGAGTAATTGATTGGTATACTAATAAATCTTGCTATTACTTGGTTTAGTTCCATAATTGCCTTAGATCTGGGGCGTCAAATGGGCGGGTTTGGCCAATTTTGAGTGTGTCAAAATATACTGAGTCAATAAATGGACGGATCAATAAGCCGTCCAAAAATTGGTTCGGGTGAGATGGGCTACTTCAAGATGGACTAAACTTTCTCGTTATTAATTAATTAATTAAGACTTTTTTGTTTTTGTTATGATTAACATATCAAAAAAATTTATTTTAAAAATATTCTGACAAAATTACTCATGAATTAACTTGGGCCAAATTTTAAATGAGTTAAGACAGATTGGATCAAGATTAACTGGTTTAAATAATAGGCAGGTTAATAACCCACCCAACTTTGCACGGGTTAGGGGGTCATGTTTTCCTGGGCTAATTTTGATACATCTACCTAGATCTACGATGAGAAAATTTCATTTTATACCCATTAAATCCAAACTATTTACCCTTTAATGCACATGCCCAAACTATTTATTATTCATACCCAATATCTTTTGAGAAGTTAATAGTGATTTATTGTAAGAAAAATTAGATCAACTATTGAAAGACCTTGAAACTAATGTGGCCCAAATTAATTACCCACTAACCATTTTTTTAGAAACTTGAACTATTATAGATGCTCGAAAAAGATACAATAAATTTGAGCCCAATATATGAATTAGGTTAAAAAAAAACTATTTCGTAATCAACAGTGGAAGCTAACCATTTTTTGTGTTAGTAATTACCTTATCGAACATAAAACTCTATCTATGTGCTTCCCAGCAATGTTCTGTGAAACAGCTACTTCTCTTTGGTACTCATTACAAGTCACCACCTGCGGAGCATTGTTCCGTACTTCATCTTCGCTAAACGGCCTGTAACAATATTTTAAAAAAAATAAATCAAATGCAACTAACAAAAGGAATGTAGAACTCTAACAATTTAGTAATTGAGTATTAAATGATTAATATTAAAAGTAATTAGCAAATTTTTCAAAACCAAAATAATTAGTACCTGCAACGAAGCAGAACTTGAACGTTTAGTGTTACAAATAAAACCTATTATGGGTAGGAAATGTAATTAGTTTATGGGTAGAAAAACAAATGGGTAGACAAGGGTAAATAGTTTTGTTTTTGTGGGTAACTGTGTCAAAACCCCATCTATCATCTATGGTTTTGGCTATACTACCGTTCTTTTGCGTAAGGTGAACAAGTATATTAGTATATTTAAGGTGCTTATAATTGAGAATTTCATGAGGTTTTAGTGAAATAAACATAACTCATGTTTAAGAGAACAAAAGCCAGTTATATAGTTACAAATTCTAGATAATCATTTCTTTGTTCAATGAATTTGATTACGATGATTTCAAATGTGGAACAGCTTAACTGTATATATGGACTTACTTGATTATTAGAGCTGTCAATATGGGCTTCGCCCGTTCGGCCAGCATAGCCTAGCCCATGATTTAGGGCTGGGCTAGAATTTTTGGAGCTCATTTAAAAACGAGGCTTTTAAGCCCGGCAAGAGTAAGCCCGTGGTCCGTGAGGCTTGACTGAGGCAGCTGGCCTGGACCAGCCCGTGAACCTAATAAAAATACTTATTTAAAATATATAAAATATAAAAAGTATATGACACAAAAAATAATAAGAAGAGTATCCCAAACTTTAAAGTTTATTAAACTTATCATGTTAAGAGATCAAAGTCTTAAAACGATAATTAGTTTTAAAAATTTAATTATTCTTAATATTTAACTAATTAATATTGCGTACGAATTGTAAATGTAGATGAGAGCGATGATGTCAATACAACCTTCTCACAAGCGGATTCAAATGTGTTTGACGAAGATGATGTGTTGGATATCCCATAAGCGTCATGGACGTTCACTTGAATAGTTTATTTTGAGTTTTGACTTTTAGTGAATGAAATATAGTCTTGTCTTTTACTTTTTTAGTGTTTATTGTGATATGTTGGAAAAGTATAAAATGTTATTAAGTTTTGTGAAATATTTCCAGTAAGTCTTTTTTAACTTTTAAATATTTTTTTTTTAGGTTAGAACTTAAAGAAAAAATATAAAATTATATTTTAAAAAATAATAGGCCGGCCCGTGGAGGCCATCAGCCCACATAGGGCTGGGGTAGATTGACCATTATAAGGCCCATCAAAATAGTGGGCTAGCCCAGCCCAGCCCAGCCCGTCATATGCTAAAGCTCACGTGAACTGGGCTAACCCGGCCCCACCCATATTGAGAGCTCTATTGATTACTAAACACATTGCTCTAAATACCAGACATATTTGGATAACTTGAGTTATAATAAAAGAAAATAGAAAATTACAATGGGCATTATAGGTAATTTATGTTACAAACAGGGTAAACCACAACAAAGTACTTGGGCCTGGGAATGAGTTATGCACGGGTCAGAATGTGAAACATCCCAATAAGATGTTATTGGACTACAATTGGGATCCAGGTTGAGGTACATGTGTAAGGAATTACAGGAATTATAGTTACTATCATGGAAGTGTAGGGGTATGCGAATAGAAGTCTTTTATTTATTTTGGCTTAACTCTTGTTGGAGCACTCTGGAACCTCCCTCCATTCTTCTTTTTCATTTTCCTCTTTTAAGTTTTCATTTGGTTGTTGCTACTTTGAGAATTTGGTTTAGATTTATAATTCTATTTTTTGGTCAATACAATATGGATCCACTACAATTTACAAGTCTAAAAGAAGAAAATGAGTGGACGAGTAGACATGAGGTTTTGGACGAGTGTCAAGGAAAATGGCAGCATTAATACTTCAAGGAAGGGATAGGATATTATTTTTGTATTTTTAATGCTGTGGATATACTTATATATCTTCAAAGTCGCGAGTGGAGGAAAAGAGAAATTAAACTAGTTTGTCATTTGAGTTGAATGTAGAATTATTGCTCGGACCGACAGTAAATTGAGTTTGTATTCTAAATTAAATTTTTATCTGATATAAATATAAATGGTGAGAAAAAATTCGAAATAATAGAGTTATAATTTACATAGAATATTCAAATAATCTTTCCAAAAATATTATCCTAACACCAAACTGTAGCGTGGATTTCTTTTCCTCCTTCATGATTCAGAATCACATCATAATTTCTCCAAAGTCAACAAGAAGAAAAATTAACAAAGTATCAACTGACTTGTCATTTCTTTGAAATTTGTAAAGCAAAAGTGTAACTTGAGTCATTTAAAAGTAAATGACTAGAAAGATTATCTCCTCATATTTCGCGAGACTTGAATTGTTATTTGGACACGGTTCAAAACTATTATTTCTTCTCTCAACATTATCTTCTTTTCAGTTTGTTCCAAAAATAATAATATATTTTTGTATTTTGAAATAATCTAATTTTACACTTCTAAGTTTACTATTAATAATATGATTATTTTATAGGCATATAAATATTATAACACGTTTAAAATCACAAATTTCAAAAAAAATAATTCGATACTGAAGCAGATTCGACACTAAATAAAGAAATGATAGTCCTTCTCAGAGGACTAAAAGCTGAGCTGGGTGCTTTGGTTTAGAGATTATATTGTAGGCCTTTATATTGTTTGTTTTGGGGATTGAAACTGGTGTGAAGGTAAATGCTTTTTTGTATGTTTTGCGATGGGGAAGACCTTTCCTTGTTTGATTGTTTCCATTCTTTTCTATTTTTCGTTTGCCCTTGTTTGAGCTATTTTTCCATATTTCTTGTTACCTTTTTCCTTTCTTTTTTTCCCCCTCCAAATTCGTTTTTCTTTCTTTCTTTTATCTGCTACTATCACTTAAAAATATTTCAAGTGTGGAGATTGATGAAATACTTTTACTGTCCAAAAATAGTACTCCATTTAATTTTTGTTGAAATGTTCCTAATAATATATTTTTGAGCAAAGATCATTAGCCCACGATCAAAACTATTTATATTCGGTAGTCGCAAAAGTGTATAAAATTTATATACTTCTTCTAATGTTTATATATATATATATACACACACAGTCTCTCATTTTAAGTTTCAAATAGTCATACACGTATACTATGCATCAACTTAACTTAAGGATAATAGAGGACCCGTTGCTTTAAAATCATGGATCCACCATTGGCAGAAGCTCCATAAATCCCACATATTATATTGGAACTTTTCGTGTGCTGGAATTCCAACATAATATGCTGGAAGTTTTGTATACTGTCGAAATTAGGTATGCCCAATTTCAGGGGCTCGAGGGGGTCGCCTCAAGCCCGAGTTCAGGATGGGTCAAGTTCGAGCCCGATGGATCAAGCTCGAGCCCGACGACAAAATATAAGGCTCGAAGATCGAAGTATGCAATGAGCGCCAAAGCCGAGTGCGATCGACCCCGAGATGATGCTGTTATGAGTTTGTAACAGAAAAAGCAAGATTCTCGCCACGTCCCCAAGATCATGGGATAAATTCCGTAATAGATTTGTACGAGTTAGTACGAATCTGTACTAGGCGGTTAGACAACTGCTCCAATAAGATTCCTTACTGTAAATACAAATGTACCTTATTTAGGGCTCTCCCATTATATAAAGGGGACCCAAATCATTTGCAACCATCATCAATCATTGGCAAAGAATATACTCTCTTACTTTCTTGCTCATATTTCATCAGAATTGTCCTTTAGCTTTGTTGTTCTTACTTTATTGTTCTTGACCTACCTCGAGGCCGCCTTAGCTCGAGGTCGAGACTGGCTTGTACACTGGTTAGATTTTATTTATCCCTTTCATTCGCACGTTATACTTCTTCGTTATTAATTAGTATTGAAATAAATTACATATCTTTAAAACTACAAACAAGTTTAATTGTTACTCGTATTTTCGAGGTAAACAGTTTTGCGCCCACCGTGGGGCTAAAGATAATAATGATTATTTCACACTTGTTCTTGTCAAAAATTTTTGTTCTCAAGTTAAAACATGTCAAACTCACAAAACACACCCATACACGGCGATGATGGTCTTGAATTTTATGGGGAAAACAACAATGTAGGGG